CAGGGTGGGACTAGGAGAAAAGACAGGCGGCTAGGAAACAATCCAGCCAAGCTAACAGTGCCTTGCGGCTAGCCCGAGCGTGACAAGTTATCATCCGTCAGAGAGCGAGCAGCATCAAGACTGACTCAAAGCAGAGCGAAGACCGGAAATAGATTCAGATCAATGTTATCGGGTGGCTTTTACACCGCGAGGACTCACCTTAAAGTTAAAAAGCCGCAGTGATTTCAGGTGCCTCTGCAGTAAGTGCGTTCGCTGCTCTGAGCCCTTGTGCAAGTATGGCGAACAAGGGAAAGGCGCCGCCCCGTTTACAGGCACGGGGCCGCGCGCGCTGCACGCGGCTGACGTACTGCGGCCGCGAGCTGATATTCAAGTCTTTCCTTCCTGCGTTAACATGAACAATGGCGTCATGAAATAATAAAGGATTAGACAGAATTTATATATAAAGTAATTTCAAATATTTTGAATAAAATGAAAATAGGTACTTCTGGGCACCCAAAAGTCTGCTTCTCAGACAAATACAACATTTAGATCAATAAAAATTACTTGCAACACATAAACGGGAGGCTACTGAAATGTCATGTGCAGCACAATAAAGGAACTTAGTACTTGATAAGGCTTCGTTTTGCATGAATTACAACAATGTGTTGTATAATGTATGCAGAGGGTCAGTGGCACTGCCAACACCAGCAGATGACATGGCTCCCCAGTCCTTCACAGACTTCACACCACACCTCAAATGACAACTAAGCAACAGACAGAGGAGGCCAAATACAAAAAACAGTTTTAGTCCATGCCTTGGACACCTTGTCGATATGTTTCTTTATGCCAACATGTTGGCCAGATAGTGACAAGTGACAACATTGATTCATATAACATTTATTGTTACAGTAAACAGACTGTCACAGAATCACATTTACAATATAAAAAAGGGAATCCAAATGGAATTACTTGCTTTGGACAATTTATTGTTCATATAAACTGAATGTATTCTCAAAACAAAATTGCCCTAAACACAGCAATGAAAAAAAAATTATACAATAAAAATGTTTACACAATGGTCCTTGAAATAAAATGGCTTCAAAACGTTTGATGCATTATACTGTTAAAAAAAAAGAAAAAAAAAGAAGCACCCTGAGCGTTCTTAGCTGGTGTCCATCTGACACTAAAACAAGAAAGAGATCATAATCATAGAATTATCAATATGAACATATACAGAGAAAGCAGAAACAACAACAAAAAAGTGTTATTCAGTAGCATACCTCTGATTTGTAAGCGTCCAACTGAGCATCCAACTCCTCTGCTGACAGCTGGGGTCTTCTTTCACCTCCCCTCCCTCGACCTCTGAAACCTCCACTGCTCCCACCTGGTCTTCTTTCAAACCGGGGCTGACCGAGCCTGCTGCGGTCAAAACCTCTGCTTGAGCTGCGCGCACACACACACACACACACACACACACACACACAAAATCACTCATATTTCTTCACTCTAAAGCAAAAAGCAAAAATAAAAAATATCCCCTGTTATCAAGTTTTGCATACCTCTGTGTTTGAACTTCTGATGATTCTTGCTGGATTTTCATAGGACGACCTGAAAAGCAAAAGCAATGACATCATGAACCTCTATTGTGACACCCAAGATATAGATAACAGTTACAAAAAAAACAACAACAAAAAATTCACCATCAAGAGGAACACCATTATAATTCTTCATGGCTTTGATGGCATCAGCTTTGTTTACAAAGTAGACATCTGCCATTCCTTTACTCCGGCCCGACCGGTCATAGTGTACCGATGCAGTCTTGATGGGGCCAAATTCTTCAAACAGCTCCTGAAGAGCAGAGAGTAAATCTAAGTTATGTGGGCACCTCACAGTTAGAGGAAACAAGATCGAAAATATTTGCAAAACCACCTTAATATCGGAATCAGAAACGCCGAAATCCAGATTCGAAATCACAAGCTTGCTGCTACTACCATCTACTCTTCTTTCTGGTACTGTACTTCCTCCACCTTCGTTCTCCTCAAACATGTCATGCTGCCATTTGTCTGGCAGCTCTCTGGGCTGTGGAGAGCAAAAAAGTAATGTTTTAATAAAACTGATGAATTTCACAGGAACAAGCATGAACACAGAAGTATATGGGCAACCCACCGAATTATTCTTTATTTTGTTTATAGTTTGATGTCTGTGTTGACCATTAAATGTTATTCTCCTCCACATCTACTGTGTTGTCTCTTGAAAAAACTGGGTTCATTTGTCAAATGACAGCACAATGTTGTTTTAGTTTGATCATTGCATGTAACTAGTAGTAAAAATGGCATTCAAAACACCTTTAAAGACTTTAAACCTGTAGTGAAATTTGGCCGATGCTTTTATGCTATACTCTCTAGAACCAAGGATATGAAAAACCTTTTTCCCAATACTTTCACTTTCTACCTGAAACTTGTCTCAAATGTAAACTTAGAAAAATGTGATCCACAAAGATAATGTTATGTTCCATCTTAAACAAAGCCTGATAGCTTTTTACTGGTTAAACTAATTATACTTTTTTTATGCGACATTGCTGACCATGAAGTCAGTCCCTTTGTTATTTTTTTTTTAGAGCAAACAGCATGCTTAAATCTGGCCTCATGCATTTTACATTCAAACCCAGGGTTTTGTGTGTGTGTGTGTGTGTGTGTGTCATTTTGCTATATAGCCTGAAGGTCATAAGTTGCACAGGCTTTATCAGGGTATACAGCTGCCTGTTCTTTCTAATCAGGTTTCTTGTAATGTACTTATAATGTTTACATACATAAATAGTATTTAATTCTAGACTGTGCAGCAATGGGTGGCATTTCTCGAGTTCCAACATTATGACAGTCCATCTTATTCGTGGAAATATTTCTGAACAGGAATTTCAGAAATATTCAGAAATAGGAAAGGGTTTTGCAGGCAATAAACTAGTTTTAAATAAAGTGGTTCAGGTACTGATGCACGTCCATTTACCAAGATTTAAACAATAGAGAGCAGCTAGTTACAGCGAGTATTGCTCAGACACAAACCACCAACTATTTAAAGCCTCTCTGTCTTACTCTGGTGTAAGGAGCTGCTCTGTTGTTCCTGTCGCGGTGGAAGTTGTTCTCTCGGCTCCTCGCCGCCACCGGCGGCCTCGACGATCCACCGGCTCGACCTGAACTTCCTCCTCGCCTGAAGCCTCCTCCTTCTCCGCCGCGGCCTTCTCTCTTGTTCATCTTGATAATCTCATCCAGAGACATGCTCATCTTATCAGCCATGGCGCCGTTGAAACTTTCTGAAGGTAACAATGGAAATGGACGATAAACTTGCGACGTTTACCAACTGATTTACGTTGGCGCGATGTTGAAATCAGCCTCCGAGCTGTCTTTGTTCTTCTTCTACTGTGTTGTATTGCAAGTTTGCTTTGTGTTACTGACACCTACTGGGCCGGAGTGAAAACGAGAATGTGCCACTTCCGCCATATTTTGAGTGGCCAGTTCTCCTAAGGCAACAAAAATTCGTTTGGAAACGCTTTTCCCTTTTAGAACCACTAAACTTTAAATACACCTAGATCTGGATGACTACTTTATATTACAACAGTGTACGTTCCCTTTAGTTCAAGTAATTGTAATAAAGCTCTGCGTTCCTTAAGTGTGCTTAAAATGAAATTGCTTTTTGCATCTAAAAATGAACCAAGGATATTGTAGCATTGTTATTGTTATTCATATTTTTAGATATTTTTCAAGAGTAGACACTGCTTGTTAAGTGACTTAATAAAATTGAAGGTGGTTTCTAATATTTAAATGTTGATAAAAAATGTTTTACTCATCTTCCCATAAACTTTCCTGGTTAAGAAAAATGTCCTCATAGCATGATGCTGCAACTTATGTCACAATGGACAGTTTGCTCAGAGCATTTCACAATGTCTGTAATTTTGGCGTCTTCTGGCCACAGTACCTTCTTCCATGCATTTGTCTGGTCTCCTACATGGCTTGTTGTAGATTGTAGAGAGAGTTTATTTTTGACCGTCCTTTTTCCAGTTTTCCATAAGGGTCAGACACACAACTAATCCTGTCAACATATTTACCCACCTGAGCTGTTGATCTCTGGTCTCCTTCAGAGTTATGCATGCATCTTGGCAGCTTCCCTGATAAATACTCTCCTTTTCCAGGCAGTAAATGTAGCCAGATTGTATCGTCTTTGTGGGTTTGAAGTTGTGCAATGGTCTTTCCATTTTCAGTTGATGGGTTTAACCCTAGGTATATTTTGTTATAAACTAGCTACTATAAACCTCTCCACCACTTTTACCCCAACCTGTCTGCTGTGCTGATTTCTTGGTCTTAGCATTGTTTGACTTGTAAGAAACCTCTGGCGTCATCACAGAACAGTCATAGTTATAGAGGGATAAAATTACACACAGACTATATTTACACATTAGACAGCAGAAGGTAATTGGTTGCATTGGATTTTATTTAGGGTTATTTAAAATCGCACAGATTTTACCATAAATGTTCTGCTTTTCCAAGTGAAAATTAGTATAATTATATATTTTTTAATATTTAACACAGAAATGTTATATTTTTAGTCGTGTTTTTCAGATAGCTGAATAAGCATCCACCTACGGTAGGTAGATCCTTATTTTTAATTCATGGATTTTGCTTTTTTTTGTTCTTCAAAACAACTTATATTGGTTAGATGATATTTAACTTACTGTTTCAATGTCATTGTTCAGCGCTCTTTCAGGTGCATTTGCAGGGAGGCACATTTTGAAAAATCAACATCTCATATATATTTTAATGTACCAGATCGATGTGAAGTTTATTACCAGTAACACTTTTACTAAAATAGTTTTATACAGAGTGCATTTGCAATCAGTATAGAGTGCAACCGCCGTAAATCCACTCTCGGAAAAGAACACCTATTCTATCCTATTTGCTTATTTAAGCTGTCAGCCTGATCAACACAGCCTGTGAACCAAAACAGAAAAACAGATGCAAACTATACAACACACTTTGGACAGGCTATGCACTTCCTTTATTACAGGTCTCCCTATGGACAGCCTTCAGACCAGATGACCACTCATTCATCTGCAGCAGCAAACAAACGTTTAAACAAATGCCTACTCAGAGTATTTGTGCAACAATCACACAGCTCTACATGAGCGCCCGTGTAGTCTACATCAGTATACTCACTAATGAGGTGCAGTCATTGCTCCCCGGGTGATACGGATGATAAATGTGCGCCAATTGCATGTGCAGCTCAGACATTCAGTCTGCGTTTAATGATGGATTGGGGTCAGAATGCAGGTTGCATAAGTGAGGCGGTGGCCAACCAGACAAAGAAAGGAACACAGGAGATTTTTCTTTTTAATAGTGCCAGGGCTTTTCCTGCCATGCCATGAGTGCTGGGGAGTGTCCACCTGAGGGAGCTGTAACAAAGGACAAAACCATGAACACATCCTAGTGATCAGAAGTAGAAAGTTGACAAAAGTTCTGCACTGAAGAAGACTTGCTAACAACCTGGCATTTGCTGATATAGATATGAAAATGGTTAGGGCAGAGTTTATAACACACACATGTCCATTTGGATTCTTTTTTAGATTATATTACTAAGGGGGGAGAGGAGAATATGGCTATGAGAAACAAAAAGTCAAAGGTGACATGCTATGAAGAACAAAAAATGAAAATAATTTTGATACACAAATAAAATTCACAAGTCACACTAGTGGAAACATCTCCACAGTCTGGTGTGGGGATGGTTGCCTAAATGCACCAGGGCAATTTTACTCTGCAAAAAGTATATCTCAATATTGTATTCTAATTGCAAGATTGATTTCATTAAATTGCATCAAAGTAGACAAGCGACTTCGATGGAACGAGAGCTTGTGCTTGTATGTCCTTCAGCGATTTGGATTATTTGTGTCTGAGTAGGTGTGCAGCTGCGTGTCTGTGTTGAGCAGTATGAAAATCTCCTAAAGGTGAAAAGTTGCTAGAATGGTGCAAAGAGTGGAAAGCTTGCAACACTCAGAGGTTAAGACCAGAAGAGGGCAAATTGCAGAAAGACACCAACTCAGAGCAGTCATACAGCAGAAGTAGGCAGGTTGTCAGTGACACACAGGAGAATCAGACCAAAGAGGCACAGATAGAGAAGGAAAGGCACTGAACCCCCACCTCAGCACCACTTCCATGTCCCACAGTGCAGAACAAGACTGGAACCCCACTCCACTGGCAGCCAGGCTCCTGCACAAGGCCCCAGTAACCCCCACACCACCCACCAGGATCCCAGAATGACCAAGGGAGGGAGAGCACAGTACCATTTTCCCTTGTGACCAATATTAGGGATTCCCACCATAGCCTAGCTTAGGGACAGGCTGAGAACCCATCATGCTCAGACATAGACCAAACTGCCACAAAAAGAACACGCAGCCCCCCCAAACCAACCATCCCGAAAAGATGTCATCAGAGATCCCAGGCCATTCCTACCTGGTCGAACCAGCGGCTTTTGTTTATGTGTTAAAGCAGGAAAGCTGCTAAAGATATAAAAGACAACAGCCATACCCAGATTAGCTCCTCCTTCCTTCGGAAAATAATTTCTAATAATTAGTAAACCTGCACAAGGAAATTCATTGTCACAGATTTGAATATTATTTACCCTGCAACAGAAATGTTACCTTGAATGTTTAAACTTTGTGAATACCAAACCAAATTAGTCATTCGTGCACAAGATTCAACACTTAGAAGAGCTCTTGATGCCTCCCACCTTCTCACTGGTAGAACTTAATCTCTGTGTCCACACAATCAAAGAACAGGTCCCCCAGTTCGTCTCCTGGTATCTCTCCGCTGAGCATGGCTGAGATCTCGCTCAGACACTGCGACTCCAGATCCCTCAGGATGTCGTAGACGGCTAAACCTTCATCCTGCGGCAGATGCACAACACACACAGAACACCACCTGGGTCAGATGGTACTCATAAATCATTTGTTTAAGCTTACAGAAGCAGCGGCAATCTGACTGATCCGCAAAACGCAGTAAAGCTCCTGTATGTTAAAATGAAGTGAATTCAGAGAGATTTGTACTTTCGTTGTCCAAGTCTGACACATTTGTTGGAGATCTTTAGAAAATAGTCTTTAAAAACTTGACATTTAGATATCTGTAATTGTTGTTTTTCAAAAAAAAATCTTTCATATTGTTGCTTTTTTTTTTTTTAGCAGTGTGATTTTATCAAGAAACGCCAAACTTCCTGAGTCTAACTCAGCTAAACATCCACAGCTGTAGAAATATTAACAGCAGAAACATAACTGTTGTTTTACAATCTCTGTTTCCTCTCAACAACTGATGTGCTGTAAAGGAAAAGGCTGAGACTGATACCTCCAAATGTGTTAATAAAACTGTGATATGATAGTAGAAAAAATATTTTTGGATGAGTGGATGTTCTTATGCCTCTTATGTCACTGTAAAAAAACAAAATAAACTTTTATCCCTGGAGTCCCCATGAAAGAACATCTGTTGTTTAAATATTTGGGTTTGTAGTTGGTGGTTATCTTACAGTCTCATTTCCTTTTTAACTTAAGCCTGTTTTGTTTTTTGTTTTTGTTTTTTGCTCTCCACACACCTGGTTTTCATCTCTAATTACCGCACATGCTTTGCTTTAATTGCCGTCTTCTGAGAGTATATTTTCTGCTTGGTTTCCTTTGTCAAACACCAGGTTTATACGGTAAACTTTAAGTTATTTTCCAAGGAGCCATTTCAGTTGTAGTTTAAACGAACATCATGGATCTGAATTTTCGAACAGACTTTGTTAGATCTGGTCAAATTAACAACTTGTACTCAAGTTGATGTCCAGACAACATGATGATGCATTTACGCGTGAAAACCTAACAACTTGAATAAATTACAATTCTCCAAGGAAGTGCAAGACAGAACTCCCCGACAACGATGTAACAGACTCAGGTGGGTTATTATTTTAATAAATGAAAATATCATTAGAAACTGCTCTTCACTCAAGTTTTCTATTCTTTATATTAAAAGTAGTTACACAATCTGAAACAAGACTGATTTTAAAAAAAATTAAAGAGGAAAGACTTTCAGTTTGTACTGGCAGAAATGTACAGGTCATACCTGCATTTCATTAGTGTTGAATTATGTGATAAGTTATGGTAGTTTGATACCTTTACAGCTTTTTATCATAACAGTTCTTTTTTTTATCGTAATGTATTATACACACAAATACTGCCTTGGTCATCTTTCTAAACCAAGGTCCCTGAACTTTTAATCATTTTTAAATTAAAATAAAGGTATGTGATCATTCTGAGTGAAATAAACACCTCATGGGTTATTTTAGATTCTTGTTATAGTGAGTAATGTCAGTCCAAACGGGGCACTGGACTGTCTGTGACCTGTTTACCTTCTAAATTACACACCGAATCTCAGACAGGACATTAGCTAAAAAAAACCTACAGCAAAAGAAAAAAAAAAAAACCTCTGCTCTTTGGAGACATTCTTCATGGCCTTCTTAGACAAGTGATACTATAAAGTTATCTTAGCTCATCTGCGTCTTGTCTACTGTGAGGAAATTTTGGATGTGCGACTCCTGTAGACATTATCCACTAGATTAAACCGGTTAAGCAGGAACCAGAACCGTAATAAATAGAAATAGACATTATATATAATCTCAAAGCATAACTCAAAATTCAGTACAAGAGATTTGAGCTTTTCTGAAATTACTCACTAGTTTGCGAACATTGAGGCTAAATAGCAATTTACAGATATGAGGTGGAGTTACAAATTTGCAAACTGGTGAACCCACCATGAGCAACCATTCAGTAAACATAGCAATTTTAAATGTCATCTAGCAGTCACTGTCAAACTTGGGCTTTATTTATTCGAGTCTGTGCCTAGAGTGGCCAATATGCCACTTAAACATACAATTGAAGATCAAATTTAAAGTAGTTCCTTTGCTAAGATGTTTACTATGTTGTGTTGGAGCAGCTGAAATGCCAAGATCCAATTTCCGTGTAACTGGGATGTTGTTAACGTCCAACACAGATGGTCTCTGTCAAAAAGGTTAATAATATCGTAAGTCGTTCCCCCACCGGTTTGGTCTCCATGGTGTTGAGCGCCACCTGGTGGGCCTTGTAGAGATCGTGTCTGCGATCCACCCGGCTCTGAAAGCGCGGCTGCTTCCTGACGGGGTCGCTTGGTCCAAACTGCGGAGAGACCACCCTCAGGACCGGGGTGGGACAATCCGAGAATATAAAAGGCTTGAATATAGACCTGAGGAGGTGTTGGGTGTTGGTGAGGGGGAAACAGAGATTGATAGATTCATAAGACAGAGAGTACGCTGATATGGAGCAGCCTATAGAGTCATTTTAAAGTCAAACCCAAGACTTGGTATTTTCTAGACAGATTCCAAAGAGTCCAACTGCTTCTTGTTGTAGCTTGAGACAAACCTGGATGGGTCTGGGGTGGCAGTGAAGAAGTGAATGCAGGGAAGGCTAGCGTCTCTGGGCAGGACAGACACCATGCTGCCTGTGGTGCAAAATCCTCCAGAGTCCATGCAGATGCCACTGGGTTTATCTCTCAGAATGGTCATCATCACCTCCGCCGTCACTGAGCCTGAACAACACAAAGCGATCAGCATCTTTACTGGGTTTCATTGCACAGATTCGCATTTACAAATGCCGTAACTAAAAGAATGATGAATGAAAGTCATAAAAATGGTACTGTGGGACATTTACCATCGTGCTGTTGGAGCAGTTCTGTGCCTCCCTTGTAGCGCTTCTTGGCCAGCTCCATCCTGGCCGGAGGGTTTTCAGGACTAAACACCTGAGAGAAGTTGAACTCTCCCTGGCCATCCCACCAGCCCTGGTCCTTGGCCACGCTTCGTAGCTCTGGATGCTCTGCTGAGATCTCAGTGTGGATGGTTAATTGATTGGAAATGTTCTTTACGCCCTCTGAAATGACAAGACATGTATTTTTTTTAAATAACAGGCCTAAATAAAATCCAGAATCTTTCTTCCTTCAAAACGTTAGCTTCACTAATTACTGAGAAAGTCCACACATATTCCCTGGCCTGACAGGATGTGTAATCCATGCAACAACATCAGAGATTGATCCTTTAAGCAGAATTTGCCCAAAAAGTGAGAGTGAGCATGCAAAAGGGCATACATCATCAATTTTAAAACTTATCCTTTTCAATTGTGTTCAGACTTGTTGCTCATTGCATTAATTTCCATGACCAAAATTGAGTAATAATTAAAAAGGAAGGGAACAAGCAAGAGCAAGGCAGCCGAGATCCCAGCTCAAAGTTTCTGAAGAATTATGATGTAACACTTAGAAAGTCATATCCAGGCATTAGTGCAAACCCAAGACAAAATAGTGGCGATAGTTAAGTCTAGTAAAGGTCAAAAAACAATGTAGTTTTTGCACTTTACTTTCTCTTTTTAGAAGACTATCAGCCACATCTGTCACACCATGTGGTCTGACACATAATTTCTGTAGTTAGTTTAGTTTGTTGACCCTAAATACTCACTGTAAGCTCATGTTTTACATTTGGTTGATGGAAGCGAAATTACAATACTGACATGCAATCAGACTGCAGCTACAAATGTGTTTTCCTCCATTTAGCTCAGGCACGAGGAAAAGGACACAAGGACTCTATAGGAGGTTTAGAGTCCCAGTTAAACGGCGTTTAACTGAAAAATCTGGAGGTTCAGAGTCCTTGTCAAATGACGTTTTGACTAAAAATCTGGATCTTTTTTTTTTCAAAATCTCTTTCTCCTTCTTACTGTTTATTCAATGTCACATGTTGTAAAACACTTTGAAATGCCTTGCTGCTGAAATGTGCTATACAAATAAAATTTGATCGATTGATGATGCAGCTAAAGCTAATTATCATGGCAATTTATGCAGGAGGATCATCTGGTGATTTATTTAATGATATGTGGACCTAAGCAACGTTTTGTGCTGAGACAGGACAAAAAATGGAAATCCCTGTATAACTCCAGATGATGTTGCCATCCATATATGGCAATCATGTCCTGTTTTTAACAAAAGCTTTTTGTAGATAAAAAATGCTTTCAAACTTACAAGCCTGATTTGAAGAACAATCGAAAGGTCGATTAGGACTTATTTGTGCTTAATACTTTCAAAAATGTGTAGGATTTATGGCTCTAAAAACCAATATGTTCCCTCTAAAAACTGACCTGAGACTTTCTGCGCCACCCAGAGTCTCCCAGCGGTTTCGAGCACCCAGGCCTCACTGCGGTCCACCAGGAGGAAGGTGTTGTGGTAGCTGAAGGGTTCTGGTTCCTCCTTGCACTGCCCGCCCTGGCCATGCTGCTCCAAGAGGCCAGTGATGACTGTCAGTGCTGCCCAGGCACTGTCGCCACGTTCCAGCCCGAGCCTGAAGGTCAAACCCAAGCTGATCACTGAAATGCAGTTTGGGGGCTATGCTTATGTAGAGAGTGTTTGGATTGTGGTTCTTCTTGGTTTGAGGCAGCTCTGAAAGCTAGAGGAGTATTTTCCTATGCAAATATGAATCGATATGAGCCACACTCAGCTTAAATTAGCCATCACAACATGCACATGACAATCTACACGGCTCTACAAAGAGGATTACTTTCTCCAAGTGTACAATATTTAGTAACAATGAAAGATTGGTAACTTTTAATGTTTTATCAAAATGAATCTGAGTAATTTGTAAATGCTTCAGCAGCTCACCGGACAAGGTCCATGCCCAACAAAGCCTCTCCAGGGACCACAGGCTCTCGGGTCCAGACTGCCTCATTCCCAATGCACACTCCTTGGTCATTAGCTCCCATTTCGGCGCCCCACAGCCAGGCTGGTTTACTGAGGACGACGGCATAGGTCCTCTCCACTTGAGGGATCTGGATGTACGTGCACTGCAGAAAAAAAATAATTAATGGGAGAACAAAACCACCTTTGATTAGATGGCAACTATTAGACTACAATCCTAAAGACTGAAAGATGTGAGGGAAAAAGGTTTCTCTCTTCTGTATCAAAAGGTATTTGAGGACAGCTCGTCTTAAAACCCATCTATTTTACTTGGCTTTCAACTCCAGCGGGATCTTGTTTTAAATTGTATGTTTGTTTTTAAACTGTAAGAGTTTTTCTTTATTTTTTTATTTTATTTTATTTTTTTTATGTTGTGTTTTAATGTACAGCACTTTGTATCAGCTGTGGTTGTTTTAAAATGCTTTATAAATAAAGTTGGTATGGTAAAAGTGGAACCATTGGTAAAGAACTTCAAGAAACAGCATCACAAGTGAGGCAAAACATAGCAGTATTTCCAGCAAGGACTAACTGAGAAACGAGCTGTAAAGTCCTGGGTACAGCTAAAACCTGGATCTTGACCTCATTGAGATGTAACGGTGTAGCTTTAGACATGTTCTTTATGTAGGAAACCCCTAAACATCTCACAGCAAATCTGAGGAGTTGGGAAAAATGTTCCTCAGAACAATGTTATAGACGAGTAAGTCATGGCTACAGGAAGCCCTGACACTAAGCTAATTTGGAGCTAAGGTGTTCTAGATTGATGTTAGGGTTTTATTTAAAAGCTAGGTTAATTCGGGTATTATTTGTAATTAGACAACATTCCAATGATAAACAATTCTATAAATGAAGATTTTAACTTTGTTTTTTTTGTTTTTTTTAATGAATGAATATTTCATGGGGTGCTCTAACATTTGTACATCAACGTATTTCCTGAAAGGTATTTATTGTGTTTGAAATTAAAGGACACTTTTGGTTGCATTTAAATGTCACGTCAGTTTTTAAATTACTCCACCAGAAGGCTGACGTCACCACATCAGGAGGATGGCGGGACATGACCATTAATGAGGCTTTAAAATTACAGAATTACCAAACTATGGATACCGATATCTCAAATGCGCTGACGAGGGAATGATGCCTGTATTGACTTAAACTGCTTTCACCTGTGAACACTGTGGATGGTCATAAATATGTTCAGCTTGTTTGGGACTTTTTCTGCTGTTGCTGTTCAGACACGTACTTCACTGTATGAGGTTTTTCGCTGGAGATGAGCTCTAACAGCACAAATATGCAAATGCAATGGGGGTGGAGGGTGGCTGTGGTCTATGTAAAAGTACTGTGTTTTCTTTATGGCGTGTCAAGAATTGTGAATGGATTTTCTTGATTACGTCTTGCTTTGACAACAATATTACAAGCATTTAACAGCACCAACAGCTTGCAGCAAAAGGCAGTAAAATATTTATGTGGCAGAGCTGAAATGTTCTGCAAACGTTCCCAGTTTTATACATAAAAAAAAATGTGAAAACCAGGTTTGCTTTTCCTTCCACTTCACAGTTATGCAATACTTTGAGAATGCCTGTCATGCAAAATCTCAGTAAAACATGTTAAGGTTTCCGGTTGTGGCGGTGTGTGTGGAGGCTTGGAGTGCGAATACTTTCGTAAAACATTAAGCCACAAGAGCAGCCATTATCCAGTGCAACTATTGTTCAAAACAACTTCATTGAAATACAAGCCTGGCTCCTTGTAAATCCAAATCCCTCCTCTGTGTATTTATTTATGGTTTTAAATGAACCGTGATGACCTTCTTGATCCCACTCTGCCAACCCACACTGATGGGTTAAAGAGGGAAAGGGGGCGCTTTGGCTGCACCAGTAGTGGCCAGATTTACCTCCAGCGTGGATCCTGGAGGATGAGACGCTGCAGGGTGGTAGACCACCTCCTGCACCTCATCTCGGGGACGGTCTGAGTTCTTCCCAAAAATCACGTGGTCATCGCGAGAACCGGGGGGTAAAGAAACAAAACAATCACATGACATGGGAGCCTGTGCCATCCTGCAACAACGAGAAAAAAAAAAGAAAAAAAAAGCAAAAGAAACAGTGAGGAAGAGCTGCAGTTTAAAACATGCCAAATAAGCACTTTCTAGTGTAAACAACCCCGAGAGTCTGACAAGAGTGTTTGACATCCAGCACGAATGAGCGAGCCTCCGCCCTTTCACCAAAAAGTGCATGCGAGGCGTCAAGAGGAAGGGACCTCTCCGTTCCCCCCACCACTCGCAGAAGAAAGTCCGCTCCCGCCGGTGCACTGAACATCACGCACGGATTAGGTGTCAGTCTTGTGCAGAGCACTTCATTGACCGTAATCTCCACAAATCCGACCCCCATGTTGCTTTATTACCGCTCCTCGCACGCATTTGCCATCGCGAATCGCTTTCGATGCGGAAATAACGCGAGGGGGGAGAGCAAAAGGAAAAAGTGTGCCGAGGGACAGGAGCGGCGTGTTTAACGCAGCTCGCTGTTTGCGAACGGCACTGCTTATTACCGGAGATAAGGCCCTGCTGAGCTGCCACTGCCCGAGCTGTCGCTTCGGCTCTGCTTATTTCCAGGAAATAAGAGGGGGGAGTTAATAATCGGAGGGAGTGGGGCTGGATTTGGACGGATCGCGGCGTCTGAAAACTACAACTAAGAGTGCAGTTGCGGGGATAATAAATTTACCTGTGTTTTTAATTTTTCGGTGGTGGGAGCGGACGGTCAGCGGGGAGAAGACAGGCAGGTTGTAGAAACCGAGTCACGTGACCGAGAAATCCAAAGGTCTGTACTTAAAGGTCTCGTCTCGTCTGGCCACAAACAGCTCATCGTCTGTCAGAGTCCAGTTCACAGTGATGATGCAGCTTTTTTTTTTCTTTTTTCTTTTTTTCTTTTTATCACGGGTCTGTCTCTTACTGGCTGCAAACTCACAGCTGACGTCGCATTTGTAATCACGGGAATCCCTGCAAGTTTACACCAAAATGTGCAATCTTTGAAAAGCAAAGAGATATGTGTGAATCTGGTTACATAGCTGCTGTTAAGTCTTGCTTAAAATTTCAACCGTTATTGAATTGCGGCAAGAGGAAAGACAATGTCGAAAAATAAAGCAATTAAACGCTTTGTTTGCAATCAGCCAGTGTGGAACATGGTAGTGGCAGAATCATGCTGTGTGGCGTCATGAGAATTTGGGATGGGGTGCATTTGTATCGCTGAAGGGTATTCAATTTAGCTCCAGTTTATTTGCCACTTCTTTTCTGACTTCTCTTTTTTTCCCCCTTAATTTTTGTTGGTATGAGTCCATCTGTTACAGCTGCAAAATGACATTGTCTTGTAATACTATAGAAAATGTGCATATGAGAGAAACCTGTGTTGAAAATTAGAGTTACAAATGCCAAAAATGGTACTGTACATGTGTTTGGAGGTCTATAAAAGAGACTGAGCAGGAATATTACTAATGATTCAACTAAAGTTCCTCTGGTTGTTATGAGACAGGCTTCAGTTTGAATTACTCATACACAACATCATAAATATTTTCCTGTCTGTTCACAGCCTAATATGTCTGTTTTTGTTTGTTTGTTTGTTTGTTTGTTTCCTTTTCTGGACTTTGATTTTTTTTTAAATTCTTTTTTATTCTTTTTAAGCTGACCATAAATTATTAACTTGGCAGTCTCCTGTCTGCGTTTGAGTCTTCCACATCCACAACAATTTTCAAAACTAATACTTCATATGTATCTAAACGTTACATCCCTACCAAAAAAGCATGGTGGTGGCAGCATCTTGCTCTGGGATGTCATACTCTAGAGCTCTGTGTGTTCATTTTGTATCTGTGTAGGGTACTTTAGGTTTTTAATATGTTGTTTAGTGTTTTATATTTATGGTTGTATGCTTTAGTTACTGATTTTCTTCATAGAACTTTGTTTCTGTTTTATTTGGTATTGTGCTTCCTGTGTTTTACTTATACAGTTTCTCTGTCGCTCCTGTCTCTGAGTTTTATTGCTTTGTGTTTTTAGTCAATCTTGTTCTGGGTTATGTTCACTTTTGTTATTTTGAATCTCTCTCTTATTAAATGCAAACATTATGAGAATCCCTACAAGTTTTTGCAAATCTGCATAATCTATGAAAAGGAATAATCAAGTGGTAACTGAAATATATCCTATTCAAATGAAAGAAAAAAAAAATAAATGAAGCTCATAACAGTCAAAAATCTCTATTTTCCCAACCAGGATTTTTTTTTTAAGTTAAAATAATAATTGTGAAGGTGACTTATATACTATTGATATGCAGGATTAGTAGGTTTTTGTGTTCATTAGCTGCAATGTGAAGACAGATTTTATTTTACTAAGGACTTGTTTATTGGTAAAGAAAGAAAAATCCCATGAAGTATTTTTCTATTATTGTTGGCAATGCTTAACAAAGCTGTCAGCTATTCACGTAACTCCAGTGATGGTTAACGTTCCTACATTTTTTTCAACAAGTGTGTGTGGTTTAGGTGGAAAGGTAGTGAGTTGTTTTCAGTTTTAACCACTAGATGTCACTGCATCCAATGCACTTGACCTTTAAAAAGTTAGAAAGCCCATTTTTTATTCCCACATAGTAACACAAGCAGATAACGATATAAATTAACCAGTCAAAAAATATAATTAACACGCCATGTGGTAAAGAGTTATGTACCAGGATATCTTTATGAAATCCAATGTAACAGTAAAAAAGGAAACTACAGTGCACATTTGCATCACTAGATTATATGAAATAAAAGTTGTACTACACCTGAGTACTAAGTGGAATAATACTGAGTGTAACAAGTTAAATATATGTTTATCTTTGCTGTATAAATAGGTCACAGTCTTTGGCTCAATGACACTGCTCCTGCACAGCACTGGTTTTTACCGGTCCCTGAATCCCCTGTTGGCTAATCAGTGTAATTAAAGTTTGTGTGTGGTGTCAGTAGTTTATTGAGTGGGTGTGTCCCCCCTCAGTGGTGTTTCATTGAATTATGTCGCTGGCACTCCCTGTCTCAGACTTTGGAGACACACTCAGTCCCCAGCACCGTCTAGCTACACTTTAGAAACCACTGATTGATTTTTAAGGGTCGAACCCTTGTGTTTTACCTGACATTGGTTATTTTCACAGTAACTGCTTCTGTGATGTTTGCAAAGAGTGGATCCCAGCCTACAGGAGATTTAAAAAAAAAATCAGATTGTTTCTAAAACTTTAGTATCAAAGTTTAAAACATTCTCATCTTTTGCTGTATAAATAGGCTAAAGTTTGGCTTTGTGAAGCTTTTCCTGCATTGCAAGGCGGTCTGTATTGCTTATTTGCAGATCCAGTCAATAGAAATTGACACTCTCCTGTCACACAATAATAAAATGTTGCTTTATGGGGTGTCTGTTGAGGCCAAACTCAGTATTTGGTATACAGTGGTACAGTGAACCCTTCCCAGCTGGGGGCTCAACTATTGGGAGATTTTTTTTTTTTTTTTTTTTTTTTTTTCATGGAATGTACCTTCTCAATATTTGTATAAAATCTGCTTATTTGAAAATAACTTTGTGGAGTATATGTAAAATATTTTAAAGTAAATGCACATAGCTGGGATATTAGGCCAGGAGTCTTCAACTCCTGTTCTCAAGGGCAGCTGTGCTGCAGCTTTTAGATGTGTTCCTGGTCCTGTAAACTTGCGTCAAGTGACTGAATTTAATGCAAGTGACTTGTGATCAAGTTCTCCAGAGTCCTGCTGTCCTCATGATTTAACTCAGGTTTGTTGAGACGGAGACGCATCTAAAATTGTAGAACACCAACTCTTGAGGACTGGATTTCAAGACCTGTGACGTAGGCACAATGCTACTTAACAGATGCCCTGACCTGCAGAGCTGAATCATGTGCTTTGGGGTGGTAGATCTAAACTTCTATGAACGCAGTACATAGTGTGTGTGCAACCGGAACCTAAACACAAAAGGCTCACCTCAACAACAAAGTTTCCTTCATTTTGGTTTTACAAGACAAACAACTTAGCTGGCAAAATATAATAGCTGATTAAACCGGTCCTGCAATCCTTTCTTTGTAATAAAACGATCAACCGAAAAGCAACAGAAATGGCACCAAGCCTTTTACAAAAGCTTTGTCAAAAAGAATCCTAGAAATGTTTTCTTTAGCCATGCAAACCAGCTCAGCTGCACTCACTGACATACGTAATCCTTCCTTTGACTCAATTGTTTCTAAGTCAGTGAGCACCACTAGTCAAGATGAATACCGGCAGATTCCATTTTTTGAAAGGTACTCAGGTTGCGTGTTTTGATGGCGCAATCATGACGAATGAGTGTTTTTATCAGTTCACTTGCCCATGAGTGGCAGTCTGTCTGCGTCAAGCCCTCAACCCAAGCTCATCTGTCAAGAAGAAACACCTGGACCCCACTGAATCCCACTTATGCCAAATTGGGAGGAGGTGATGAGTTACTTGGCGAAGCAGCACGCTCCTGACTGATGTCTCCACACAGCCTTTGGGGAGCGCTGGGGGCGATAGGCCTAAAAAGTTGAGAAATCTCAGTGAGAAGACATCCTGTTACCTGAACGGCAGCAGGCAACTTCCACTCCCTCCACCAGCCTTTCATCTCCCGGAGCTGCTGACAAGCATCGCACATCCTGTCTGCCCTCACACAAAACACCATGAGAAGTAAACACCCACCTGAGCCAAAAGCAGACACACCCAAGGGAAGGATTGTACACGTAAACAACATGCACACACACACACACACACACACACACGCAGAAACATGCGTGTAAGCCAGCACAGACATAGTGAAACTAACAGATTTACAAGCGAGGCTTCTAAATGCATTCATATATCAAACTACAAAAGTAACAAGCTGCTATTTTGACTTAAAGTGTGATGAACAGGTAATTAGTCAAGTACAGCTAAGAAGGAAATTGGATGTTACTCTGTTAGTCACAACAAGTTATTAAATTACCTTTGTATTTTGTCCTGATGGAGAATAAAAAAAACTTGATGAGTCTTTAAAGATAAATCCAAACAAGCCTCACTTTATCAGCACATTTGGAAAATCTTTTATACTTTTTTTTTTAAACTTTTCTACATTTTGCCACATTGTAATCACTAACTTCAATGTATTATCATGGGATTTAATGTGACATCACAGCGTGATGCTGGGTAAAACGGCAAAGCTGAATGAATGCAGAATTTGTAGTTCCATTGATTACACCAACCTGCCCAGACCTGCAGCACCAAAGCAGTTTCTCTTATATATGCTTTGTTAGTTTCATGCCAGATCTAATGGGATGAATGATTTCCAGAAAGTTTCACAGAATGTGTTTTATTTTTGGTCAGCTCTCTTTGGATACCGTTGTGTCCCAGTCTCTTTCTTGTTAATCGATAATGAACACAGACCTTTAGCTGAGGTAACAGTGGCCTGCAATGCTTCATATGCTGCTGTGAGACCTTCTAAATGAGTCGGTGATGCATTCCATGGCCATTCAACGACAGAAAGCTGTTCCCTGTTTTCTCAGTTTGTGAACTGAGAAAACAGGGAGGCTTTGACTTCCAAAAGCCTCATGAATGACCTTTTAACCTTTTCCAGGCTGATAAATGTCGGTGACTTTGTTCTTGAATTTCCTTAGATCAGGACATGATGTGTTGCTTTTGAAGATCTTTTATTCATGTTGACACACACTTTGTTATCATGATTTTATTTTATTTTATTTTGCCCATGAAAGGAAGCCATAATTCATGATTTAATAAGGAACCAATAACTATACATTCACACAGAGCGCCAGAATGGTTTCTGCTGTTTCTTTTACTTCTGATCAAAACGTTTTTGCGTTTTGGTTTTGGTTTGTGTTGGTTTTCTGAACATTTCTTTGTCGTTTTTTTTGTTGTTGAATTGGTCTTGCCATATTCACTCATTCATTACCGTCCATACTGTTTTCCCATATCAGTTCATTCATTTTAAGGTTGTTAGTTTATTGTTATGTTCTCTTTTTGATGCATTTTGAATTCTTCTTTATTCTTTCCCCCTTGGTTTGCAGATCCTATGTGACTAATTTAGTTCCATCTATCGGAATTATTCATCCTCCCTGCGTTGCTGTTCCACATCCCCTGATTGGACTCACCTAAATGCAATGCCATTCC